CTTGGAGCCAGGTGGGACCAGCCGCCCCCAACTCCTGCTGACAGGTTCCAGTTAGTCACTGACGCTATAAAGGGCAACTAGTGCTTGTGCAGGGCCAGGATTTTCAAAGAGAGCCACTGTGCTCTCACTTTGCTCCTGCAGAAACTGAGAACTCCTGCGTCAGTGCTGCAGACCCTGTGTGCTCAGGCTGCTCGTCCTTGGAAGTGAGAGCAGGGGCTTTGCATGTGGGGTTGGTGTAGGAATAGAAGTTGTCTGTTGCCTACCTGCAGGTAGAAGGGTGACTGTGGGAGGCTGGAGGTAAAACTCAACAGTATCTGTTGTGAAGCAGCAGCTCTGTTGTAATTTTGATGTGCAACTCAGCTTTTTTTTTTCCCCTCAGCAAATCATCTCATACATAGTCATCTGTAAGCTTTCTTTAAGAAATGCAGGGGATGGGGAGACCTAATGTTAAATGAAACTGTAAATGAGGTTAGTGAAATAATGCAGTGTTATCTCTTTTCTTTTTCAGTTTAGAGTTTTTATACCTTGGAGGGAATTTCATTACTTCAATTCCACCTGAATTAGCAAACCTGCCTTCTCTAAGCTACCTAGTTCTGTGTGACAACAAGATCCAGAGCATTCCACCTCAGCTGGCACAGTGAGTATTTACTGTCATCAGTCACCAGCTGTAATTAACTCTTTGAACTTTTTCTTCTGCATGTATGGATAAAAGGACCTGGGAGGACCTATTTGTCCTTTAGCTTGTTCATGTGACTAGGCTTGAACAAGGTCTTTAGCGTGGTGCACTACAGGCAGACCATAAATGTATAATATAGAGATCTCAAAGGGTTATGGAAACAAAGTCACCATGTATACACTTTAAGGTGAATGAATGGATTTGTACAGGGAGCTCTGAGAAGTACCTGGGCAACTCAGAAAACATAAACTGCTATGCTACCATATTCTTAGCAATGAGTGCTTGGACTGTTTTGTCTTTCATCCAGAGGTTTTTTGTGTGTGCTTTTCTGTTGTACCAGTCCCTGTGTTCCCTGGGCATTTCTTACTCTAGGATCTCAGAGTATCTTAGTGTTTGTTAAATCCTGCAACACAGCTCTAGAGTATAAGTTATTGCTCTATCTTTTTCATAATGGGGAAAGAGAACACTGCAAACTCTGTAGGGGTAGCCTAAAATGGGAGATGAGGAATTTGGTGTGTAGCTGTAACCCCAAAAGCAGTTGAATGGCAGCATGGAGTTTTCTGAGCTGAGATTTGATGGTGTAGTGGGACTACTCTTGATGTACAGTGCCTAGTTGTCTTGTAACTTGTACTGGTTTGAGAGCAGTCCTGGACACTGTGTTGGAATGTTGCTTTGTGCTTCCTGACAGAGAGCGCCTCCTCCAAAAGCCAAAAACCTGCTTGTCCCCTGTGCTGGTGCTAGCCTGGCCTGACCTTGCCTGGCCTGGCGTTTGAGATCTGGTAGTATCACAGGCAGCATGAGGTGATGCAGCTGCAGGCAATGTGAACGTGGGCTTTTCCAGGGCTGGCTGCCTGCCAGCAGTCATCTTTAATGCATGAGTGACAGCAGGTGACTTGTTCAAAGTGTTGCATGGAACCGTTCTTGGTGCATGCACTGGGTACAAGGAGACATAGCCTCCCCTGAAAGTGCTCAGTTTGTACACTCCTGTTCTGTGCTGCCTTCCTTGGGGTGTGGGAAGAACACCGAGGGGGACAGCAGCGTATTTGAGACTCTGTGTTCTTAACAGTCATTCCTGAGCTGAGCCAAGCTTTCTAGGGCATTGTGTGTGCTGGAGTAACAGCAGCTCTTCTAGCATGAATTTATGCTTTAAAAGGAAGAAAAGCCAAAGAAAAATAAATTGGTGGGAGAGGGGAGAGTAATGAGGTCTGTGTAATGCAGTTGCAGAATGATTTTCTCTGTGCATCTTGACTGAGTTTCCATCTCCACCCTCAGGCTGCACTCCCTACGTTCCCTGAGCCTGCACAATAACCTGCTGACTTACCTTCCTCGAGAGATCCTTAACTTGGTTCACCTGGAAGAGCTGAGCTTGCGAGGGAACCCGCTGGTGGTGCGGTTTGTCCGTGACCTGACCTACAACCCCCCGAGCCTGCAGGAGCTGGCCGGGCGCACGATTAAAACGCGCAACGTTCCCTACGCGCCCAGCGACCTCCCGGAGAACCTCCTCCGGTACCTCAGCTTGGCCAGCAACTGTCCCAATCCCAAATGCGGGGGTAAGTTCACACGCACTTCTTCCTGCTTTTACCCAGGGGCTTTCTCTCTCCCTCTGACTTGCTGTGGCTCTAGTAACTCAAGTCAGCTTAAATGTGATGTTGCATCCAAATTCGGGGTGTATTTCATTGGCTCCAGGTCTCCTGCAAGCTTGCCTTTGAGGAACCTTGTTCACTTAGGAACGGTGTAGGAAAGTTGTAGTGCTGGTTAACTGTATTTGCATGGGAACATAAGACAGTTCTTGTGTTGAAGTCTTTGCAGCACATCACTATGCTTGTATGGGCTGAAATTTTCAATCTGTCTGCCCTGAAATAGCTCAGATTACACAACGGACAGGAGAACTTTTACATACGCTCTTGCTGAGCAGCGAGCTCCTGGAGGGAAAAGAGGAGAGACTCTGTAGTGCCTGGCAGTGACCAAGAGCAACTTGTTTCCCTCTTGCTTGGGACTACTAGCATGTTGTTCCTGGAAGGAGAGGACTTCATAGAAAAGCCTGAAATGCTTGGACTTAATTTAGCTTAATGCTTAATCTTTATCCAGAGTAAATGATCTGTGCATTTAGCCTTTAGAAGATTAAGGGAAAAAAATCATTAATTACGATCCGCCCTGCAGTCATAACACAGGCTGTTATCTTATCTCCTTACAGGACAGTATCAAAGAATGCTCTGTAAGCAAAGACAGAAGGGCTGGAACTTGTGCTGGAAGGGAAAGAAATGTTTCCTGTTTTTAGAGTTTTGCACAACCGGGGATTGGTTTTGCTCATTTTCACTCTTCCTTATGAGCTAGAACAGTTGCTCTAGCACTGTAAGAGAAATGCTTCCTCCAGAGCAGCTAGGACTTAAAATGCTGCTGGAAACTTCTGAAAAATGTCAGTGTCTAAAATCACTTGCTGTGACAGGAAGGGAGCTCTAAGTGTGTGTTACAGCAATGCTGTTGCCATGGAAAGTAGCACCCAAACTCAGCACAGGGACTTCACTCAAGCAGAAGAAAAGTACAGCTATGACGGTCTGTTTGTGAACGCGTTTTTGCTAGCTGGTAGAAGAGGTTTTATGAATTTGAAAATAGAGAGGATGAATTAATTTGTCATTTAGGAGGTTTGCAAATTCCCAGTTTGAGATTTCTCCTTAATGGTTAGAAGAAATTGCAAAATTCTGTGGAATTTGCAGCTGTCCTGTGTCTTTTCGTGTAGAGCGTGGCGTTCTGAATCACCTACCAAATACAGTGTTAAGGAATTAAGTGTGTTTTTACTGTGAATAGAAATGTCATATATCCATAGGTATCCTGGTGGCTTTTCTTCCTCCAGCATCACTGTGTCCAACAATGTATCAATTAAATCCTAATTGGAGGTGTTGGCACCAGCCACGACAACCTTGCCGAGCTTAGGGCTTGCTCGGCGCGGCGTCTCACGCACTGTAACGCTCCCTCTGCCCTCACAGGTGTCTACTTCGACAGCTGCGTCAGACAGATCAAGTTCGTTGACTTCTGTGGGAAGTACCGCCTCCCGCTGATGCACTACCTGTGCTCCCCAGAGTGCTCCTCTCCCTGCAGCTCTGCCTCCCAGAGCTCCACTTCCCAGAGCGAGTCCGACTCCGAGGACGAGGCCAGCGTCGCCGCGCGCAGGATGCAGAAAGTCCTCCTGGGATAACGGGGAGCGAGGGGGCAACGCAGGGAGGAAAAGGGGTTTGAAAAGCAAGACCAGAACAGCGAAGCACGAGCCTCTGGCCTGCAGGGCTCGCGAGAAACTGTCCTAAAGCCCACGTAGGGGGCAGAACATCTTAGCAAGCCTAGACTTGCTCGGTGCAGGGCTGCTTAGGAGAACTAACTCAGTGGCATACTGCCTGTAGGGTGCCTGGGGTTGTTAGAAACATCTCCTGTCTGGGAGACACCCTCCCCTCCCTTGTATGGGCTGGGGAGGGGGATTTGCTCTCACTGGCGGATTTGGAAAGGTTTTAATATGTGACACTTCACTGGACTTCAGTTGTCCTGCAGAGCAGAGGAGGCTGTCCATGTCTTTTAATGCTGTAGTAAATCAGAAACAGGCTAATGATGCCATGTGAGTACGTCTGGACCCCAGTGTTTTATATAGCATTTTGATTCTTTGCTCTCTCCTTTGATTTCAGTTACAGATCGTACACTAAAAGCTGGGAGCTGAGTTGGTTTTTGTTACGTTGTTCAGGAGCAGATTTTTTCCAAACTCTGGTTATTCTTCCTTTGCCTAGAGGCATAGGGTCTCTGTGCTGTTGCAGATGTCACGGCCATCGTAGAAGAGAGCCACCTTTTTTCCCTCCCTTGTTATACCAAGCTGCTCTTAGTGTTTCCTCCTAACCGTATTTGTTGTTTTTCTTCCCTTTGCCTCTTCCCATTACACTTGGAGTGTTGCTGTCTTTATGGTGCCTTCAGAAAAGAGACAAGTTGTTCTACTGAGACGTGGTATTCCTTCAGATTTGTGGCCGTACATGCCTGTGCAAGGGACCAAACACGATGCTCTGTATCATGTTTTTGAGTCTCAGCTTACTGGAGCAAATCTGCTTTTATATCTGTGAATTGCAGAGAAGGTCTTGAGTGACACTTCTTGTTTCTAAACAACCATGTCCCCCTGCTGCAGCCAGCTCTGCTGTGTTTGGTAAAGAGTTATATTCCACTTCTAAGGTCATCCACTTGAAGTAGGCAGCAGCTTAATGAATTGAAGTACTGAGAGAAGTGCCTTTGAGAATTTTTTTTTTTCCTTATTCATAACAGGAAAAGCTGTTAGGGAGGCTGAGGTGAGTTGTCTGAGCATCTTGCATGAGGTTGTTTTGAAACCTCTTCCTTATTTATTTGTTTGCATTTGCTCTTGTTATAATAGCTTTGGCAGTCTGTTGGATTGTTCAGGTAACACACTTGGTTATCTTAAACTGTGTTTAAAAGAAAGCTGCACGAAACAGCTAAGAATTTTTAAGTATTAATAAATAGCTTATAAAAATTAATATTATGGATTGACAGGTATCTATAAATCTAATATATGGGGCTGTCGTGTGTTTTGTTCAGTAAGAGCTGCCCTGTCATTAATATTTCATGGCAGAGAGTCTTTTTGATGCAGTTTCAGACAGAGCAAATCCAACTGTGCCTTTGAATGCATGAGCAGAGCAAATATGTTGCGTTAAGAAGCTAAATGAACAAGAAAAACTTTTAAGCCACTTTGGTCCTAAGTGGGAAATTAAAAACCCGTGCTCCTCTCCTGCATGAACGTTTGAATATCTTGTGGCAGCTCTGTGCTAATGGTCCTGTTTAATTATGTTTGACACTTTATATTTTAAAGCACTTTGATAATTCTACTTTAACTTTAGTGATTTTTTTTTTTTTTTAAATTAGACTACAATTTTTCCTTTAATGTGACCTGAAGAACAAGGTCTGTGAAACTTTACACATTCCAGTCTGTCTCAAAATTCAGGTTGAACTTCTTGCCTTGCATTTCCTTGACAGCGCTGCTCATTTCCCAGGTTTCCTTTGGAGATAACTGGAATTTGAAAGAAATGATTTGGTTGTAAAGTAGCACCTCATCCGTTATTAATCATTGCAGCTTAGTCCGACGATTCCTCACACGCACAAGGAAGTAAATTGCACGTGTGCTCTGTGCCTTTCCAAATATTTTGTTGAAGTATATTTTTAAAATAAAATAACAAAATAAGGTTATTTTTAAGACACAATAAGGTATATGTGCAAAGCAGCTGGACATCACTTTAGCATATAGTGTGAAGTTTGCTTGGGAAGAAGAACCTACAGATTTTGAGAGCAACTGACTGCATGCAGTTAGTTAAATTTGGATCAGTGAGTGGCCTGTGTTTTGTTTTTCATCTCCTCTTCCAGATGCTTTTTCCTGTCCCAGGTGAATACCATCAGACCAATGCTGGAGGACAGTAAACTGGTTGCAGAGCCACAATTTCAAATTGGCTGCTCGTGTCACAGCAGTGAGCAGCTGAATGATCTAGAGCTTGGCTTTTCTGCCAGTGAAAGTGAGCCACACAAGTTGAGATCTCAAGATCTGAGCTCAGGGCCATGAGGTACCACCTTCCTTCCTTCTTTTTAGCAGCAGCTGTCTTAAAGTCAGGCATTTTTTCCACTTCACAAATTTAGATTTCACCAGAGTTCTTGTTTGCACATTAGCACCTCTGTATGTGATGGGTTAAGACCAGTGGTGGTGCTAATTTAGCTCAGTCCTTAACTGCATTTTCTTTCCTAAATGAAACAGGCATCTTGTTTCTGCCCTGATTTTAGCAGAGCTAATAGGCAAATTTTTTTTCATAGCTTCTTCACTCTGGTCAGGTCAAAACTTGACAGCTTATGCAGCTGATATCTCTATGCATTTCTAGATTTGATAAAGTGTCTTGACTCTTAAAATTTTATATATGTTCCTGAGTATAGCTACAAAGTTTTCATTTTGCTGCTGGACTTTAAAGTGCAATTCAAGTAAGTAACAATTTAAAACAATCAAGGACTTGTAAGAAAAACAAATGGTTGATTGGTAGGTTGGTTTGTTTGGTTTTTTTTCCCCCCTTTTGGAAGTGGATTTGAGAAGACAAGGGCTGCAGGTTTGTACCCTAGTGCCTAACATACTGAGCCCCCAGGAGTCAAGTTTTCCAGCAATTGTCAGCCCCCAAAGACTGGAAAATGCACTGGGCAATGAAATAGGAAAGACACAACTTGAGAGTAGACTGATGGATGGCAGGGCTAATTCCTACTGTCCCCTTGGTGTTTTGCCACCGTTGTAGCTCCTTTTGTCGGTTCTGAATAGTGGATTTCAGTGCCTACAGATGTGTCTCCGAGTGAAGTGCTCAGTGTTTAGGTATCAGTCCCCTTGTTGCTACAGCAGCCCAGCACGTCCAGCTTTTGAAACTGTTGTGAAGTTGAGACACAAGGGTGTGAAGCAAAGCTGCTCCTTGTTGCTTCCCCGCGGGGCCTGGGACGCTGCTGGTGTTCACCCTCTGCCAAGGGCAGCGTTCCTGAACGTAGGCACTTCACGTGAGCAGGGGGTCGTGTTAGGAAGAAGCAAAATACCCATTTGACTGGAAGCAACTTAGACAGTTGCCAATTCTTTTGTATTTCTCTTTCTTTAATAAGAGGTGAGACTTGAGGAAGTCAGTAATGAATATTTAAACGTCCTCTGAAGTGGCCAGATGCAGTTTTTCATCAGCTTCTGTCCTGGTCATTTTAAGTCTTTGAAACCTTGTGTTGAATTATAATGGGAGTTGGGGGGAGGGAGGGGAAAACTAGCTCCTTTTTGTTCCTTATTCTTGTTGGCAATAATGAATGGAAGGAATTTAATCCAATGAAAGTAATGAAACTTAATCCCTGCGATGTGTCTTTGTTACCCAGTTCAAAGAACTATTTTAATGCATCTTATTCACACCATGCTCTCCCTCCCCAGCTGAAGATTCTTCAGATAGACTTACTTCAGAATGCACACTAATACAGCAGTAACTCTATCTTGGAAATCTTTCTGTTGATTATTTTATTTGCCTGCCCAGCTAGAGGATTGATCTTTTACTGACCTGAACATAAAGGGCAGAAAGGGTTCTCATCCAGCCCTCTTTTTGTATTTTATCATGAGCATTTGTTTTAGGAAGTCTTGAAGTGCCTTATGTTTTTAAAAGTCTATTTTGCTAGAAATGTATGAATGTAGAATATCTCTATCAGTATTTCTTTATGAGCTGTAAAACAAATTGCAAACACTAAACCAAAAATTGTATTGCTACAGTTCTCTGTCTCTTATTTGCCAACATCTCAATTCTAGTATTGCTGCTGACAAGAACCCTTGCAGAACTGCAAATGTTAAAAATGGGGCTTTACATGGGTGGAGAACAGAGGAGATGTGACCTGTGCTCTGTAAAACCAAGAGCAGCTGGGACTTCCAAAGGGGCTGTTGAAACACTTGGCTTTTGGGGCCCACCTGTGACGGGCCAGTGTGTGTTACAAACCAGACTGGTTTACTCCCAGTGGGGTGTTGTAAAATTCGCTCCACAGTTTAAAGGTGGAAGTAACTCATGGGCAAGATAAATGTACAACCAAGAGAAGGCAGTGTCACAGTGGAGTTTTCCAGCAATGTGAAACGACACTTCTAAACTTCTTGAATTGTTTCACTCTTAATATGCTAACCCTGAAACCTGCAAATGACTTTCTGAATGTTAATTTTCTGATCATGTGAACTGGTTAATGTGTTTCCATTTCTTTTTGTAATCCTATGTATCCTGAAGAGTTTTTGTGATCTATTGCCAAAATGTTTCAGATCCTGCTGTGCAATTACCAGTTGTCAGTGCAGAAATGTGGCGTATTGGAAAATGGCACGGTGGGAAACAAGAATTATTTGATGTTAACTTCAACAAGAACTGTTTTCAGAGATGCTTCCACTTCTTATGTAATGAAAAACCTCTCAAATTATGCACCAGACCCATTTCATACAGCATAAAATACTGAGGAATGCAGTGGTCTTGCCTGTAATAGCTAGGCTTAGAGAATCCTTGCCTCTTTTTAACTAATATAAAGATACCCTTTGTCTGTGTCTTCTTAATACCTTTCTTGTATCTGGAAAAAAAATCATAGAAATGCTGGTTCAAAGGAACCTCTAGTGGTCTCTAGTTCAGCCTCTCCATTTAAGCAGGACTATTGCCA